GAACCGTACCCAGCACCAGCGCTGAGTTCGCTTATGTCACAGGCGTCCCATTTAATCCCGATTATCCCTCTGATGAGCACTAATTGACGGGTTTCTGTGAAATTATATGTGAGCTGCATGTCATTCAAAATAGTCTGGTTCTGCTACTCGTGACGTCGTTTCCTTGAGCTTGGTTGATTCTCAGTTTATTTAACGACTCTTACTCAGCTCCATGGGTTATTTCGTCGTCCAGTTAGTTTCCAGTTGTGAAATTGAGTCGTATCGGCTCATTCGTTCTTCCTGGAAGAAATGAATTGCTGCGAGCCTTATATGGACAGTTCAGGCTCCATGAAGCAGCGGACGCAGCCCGTGCCCTCTGGCTGTCCGTCAGTTCCTTTGCGTGTCGGGCAATGTTTCCACCGCGCACAAACCTAGACGCTGTCGTCTCCCACCAATCATCACCTCGGTCATGTGTTGTAACTGAGACACGACTGATTCTGCCTGAAGTATTGAATTGCAACTGAGGCAAAACCGGAAGCTGCTGGTGTCGATGTCGGTATTAATTTTCGTCTGCGCCAGATTCGCGACATTAGCTGACTGCGTATGAAGGTGCGATTCCTTGACATTCTTCCCCGATTACTTTCCTCGTTATTTAATTCTTAGATGGACTCTTCATTCAGCAGCAGTCAAGAACTTCCAGAAAGCGCGTAGCCATAATGACGGAGGTCCACCATTAGATCTTGCACGAGATTCGTAATGCGCATGATCACGAATTTAATGTGACCGTGTAAGTCCAAGAATGACCTAAGGAGCAACGACGACTTCGGTGATGTCGCATGAAGAAGACTTTCAGGAAGTCGGTGTACTCCAGAGTACACTTTTCAAATCTTTGTAAAAAAAAATCGACTGCAAATTCTATTTTATCATTACTTTTGACCAGAAAGTTAGTTCTTTATGAAGTTTCCGTGTCTGTAACAATTACAGTATCTCGCAGTGGTTGTTAACAAGGCAGAAGGTCCAACGCCGCTGATACCAGAAAAGACCCTGTGACAATTCCGTCCACCTTCGATCCTCATAATGTCCTCGTGTCTCTCCTTGTAGACTGTGCGTGGGTGGCGAATGCTCCTGTCGAATTATAAGGCCACGAAAATTGGAGGAATATAAAATGTTTCATAAAATAACACAACGGCAGCACGCTGTGGTGCGACTGTTGAAGAGATTTTGTTGTGTTACATTTCTGCATGATCTGACGTCCAGACCGGCATTCGCCACTGCTGCACGTTCAGTACATTCCCTGTTTCCTTCCATACCTTTGAGGTCGTCTTCCCAGTCCAAAACCAGAGGATGGACTTAACAATAACTACTCTCTAGTGGGGGTCGATGTTTTTAATTAAAGCCAGACGTAATTCTTGACAAAATATGGAAGGAAGCGATTCTCGCTTTACAGTTGTTGTCAGCTTACCATACAGCTTGCTGGCCTGTGTTTACATCGAGGTTGATGTTCGTAGCGCACCACCTGGGAATGTGGGAACCACGAGGGAGGGAGTGGCAAGGACTGAACACGTGACTGCGATTTATATCGACGTGTGTGTTCATAAAGCAGCCGTGCTGACCACGTAGAGCCTGACCCCGTGTCACTTGCAATTGTACGTCGCAGAAACAAAAGACAGAAGGACGCTCTTTATTTCCAGAAGTGAGGCTTGAATACAAATACCCTCTTTGCAGCAATGGATAAGGAAAACACTTGTCTGCGCAGATTCTGCGTGACAGTAACAATTGTGCGATGGAGCGATTTCAACGAATGCCATGTTGTCCCTGTATTCCATATTGTTCAGCTACGTTCAGACACGTTTATTATATTACATTGCTTCTTCATGGATGTGCACGTACGTCTTATCACAGAGCGGCTGCAACTCCTGATTCGAGGTCTTTTCACCGTTTTCCTCAATTCACCTAGGCAAATGCTGGGATAGTAATTTAAACTACTCCACGACCACTTCCACATCATTTCCAAATCGTTCTTTATTCATCACCTTTGAATTCGACGCCCTACATAATTGGAACTATCCCCGGCGGGGGCAGAGGATTTTTCCTCTAGCCTCTGGGGCCCACCCAGCCTCCTCTACAATGGGTACCGGGGTCCTTTCCCGGGGGTAAAGCCGGCCCAGGGCGTGATGCTGACCACTCACCCCCATCTAATTCCGAGGTCAAGGAAGAGAGGAGCTATACCTCCACTCCCCCCAAACGCCTATATGGCGTATAGTGGGACAAACTTTACTTTTACATAATTGGAACTACTGACGGAGTCGTTAAATAAACTGAAAATAAATAATAAGTGGTAGAGTTACATTTTTTAACGTAGGATTGATTTATACTGTTCTGTCACATACGCGTTGCTCTGACATTGTCTCTTCGTGATCATCGTTGCGTCACGAACAGAGACGTGTTTTTGTGTCGCACTGTTTCATGTCACTGACTTACGAATTCTTTCGTGAAATATGCGTCTACTCCGTTCGTGTGAAATAAGATCTGCCTTGTGCACTTGAAGAATTTAATGCATGCGGATTCGACAGAAAAGCTACTTCCTGTTAAATGAATATCAGAAAAAAATACAAAATATCTGATAAAAACGTCTTGACGTCTGCGTTTAAAGACAAGCTGCGTAAAGTGTGTAAAGTTTCTAAATAACGTATTTTAAAACAAAAATAAATTTTAAACATATAAGACACTCGGAAATCAGAATTCAGTGTAGTGTTGAAGCTGTAACTTTTTCTTTGAACACAACTTAAAACACAATTTTGTCATGACACACGCCTCTTGCTAGAACATCGGGATCGAAGCCTAGGATCTCTCCCCATCAACAGTTATGACAAAGATAAAAAATTTAGGTTTCACATCGCATTTTATTTTCCTGGCTGCAAAAGTAACGATGTCTGAACCCCGTGATTTACATCAATCGGAGCAAATAGCATTAAAATTACAGTGCTCGATGAAGTATCAATTTACATAATGCGACGGGTGAGGAGGTGGTGTGAAATTACCCTTCGGGGGGGTTGAGTCTGTGTGGTCGCTTGGTCCCGTATGCTAATTCAGTGGTTGCCTGTCTGCATGACAGCAGACAATGGTAAGGGGAGACGCCCCTATAATGATGCGACCCCGTCTTGGGTTGCAAATTACACAGCCTATATTTCTAACGACAGCTTTTCACCGTCTGGCTCTTGTTGTTATTAATATCATAACAAGATGATGATGTCATAAAATTCATGGACCATATGTGAACTCCGCAACAGATTTGCGTTTCGTGCAGTACAATGAATCGTTTCCAACAGCCGAAAACTGTACCTAAACCCTTTGAAGCCTCGTGGAAGCCAATGAATTTGATGCTTGAAATGGTGGAGTTTTATGCTTTCTTTGCGGTACGGACTGAATTCTTATATATTATTTAGATGAGCTGAGATAAAATTAAAACCAAAAACATTAGCTTTGAATTCAGACTTGCAAATGTATCATCGATATTATTTGAACGTTGACACGAAGTGGTTCAGATCCGGGTGTTCGAAATACAGTCTTTCTGTCAAGAGGATCTATTAACCTTTTATCGCTAAGTAAGTATGAATACCTCGCGATGTAATGCGAATCAGTCTTCCGTTTGCTTACGACCGGTGAATTGTTCTATCCCTCGGAACCTGATTGTATTAATCTTGATGACGAGGGCTTCGGACAAAATTTAGCGCTTTGTCGTAGGGGTGGTATTTTTGTATTCTATGGCACACTTCCCAGCCAAGGAAACTTTTTCTTTGCCCTTAGTGGGTACGCTTCATTCCATCATTTACTAGGTCTTCAGTCTGTCTTCTTCCTTTGGAGTATATTTAAAATAAATGTATAATATTTCTAACGGCGTTCTGTGTGCTTCTGTGTGTTTGTAATGTTGGACAACCATGTGTGGCCTGTCACCGTTCCCCATCACACCCACACGAGCACATCTCTCGACACGAGAACATAAAACAATGTTTTAACATTAACGTTTATTCGGAAATGCAGGTGAGGAAAATTGAGTTTTCGCTACGATTTAATTGCTTTAAAGCAACGAGAAATATCATAGCACGGAACGTTCGCTTCCCACGGATTAAAAACCACTAATTTAGAGTGGATACCTCCCCGGAACTCGCGAGAATGATAATCATCTAGAGTACTTGTTACGGGTCTGCTGTGGGTGGCCTCTGCGTTCTTCCGTTGTGCGTACGTGAAAAGCAGGGTTAAACACTGTGTGTGGTTCCATGTCTAATTACTAGAGAGCAGCAGCTGCCGAAACAAGTCAACTTCGTTCAGAGAAGAGTAGGAACACAGTGGAATACAGCATGAGATTTTAGCTACGTAGCAACCCACAAATTGTCGGATTCGACCTAGTGGCTTTGACCCAGAGCAGCGAATATGGCTGCCTTATATATTCTGAAGGTTTCACGGCGACCAAGAAAAATGAATTATTCTCGGGCTGCCAGCCGTGTCAGGTGGTTGAGAGGCGAAAAAAATCCCCCCGACGTTTCGAGAGCAATCACCGTCCTCGACCTCATTGTTCTGGGGTACTTGACACGGCTGGTAGCCCGAGAAGAATTCGTTATGGCTGATTCTTTCTTCAAATTTAGATTTTGAAAGGTGACGCCTGTTCAATTCCTTGAAGTCTTTGGCTGATAAACAGAAGAGCGAGGTTGCCTGGCAACGCGTTGCGTCCATTTTGAACTTCCGTTTTTCGTTACATAACCGTTCACCATGAATTACTGGCTCATTGCCTGCATTGGTGGAGAGTCTCAGCACCGGGCGTCGTTTCGTTACAGGTGACTACGTTAAGGACAAATACGACGGAGCGACGGAAGTACGCGTCAACAGACGAGGGCGCCTGCAGATACGGGACCCGCGTTTCAACAAGCCGACGGCCAACGACCTGGTCTACATCGACGACTCTCCGAATTACTGTATCCGAAACATGAGCGTCGGCTCCCTCGGTAAGCCCTGGTTGCACTCGTCGTTCTTCTCCTCGTTATTATGTTCTTTTCATTTACAGAATAAAATTGCCTTGTATCTGAGAGAACAGATCTTTGCTTGCAACCAAAATATTTACTGCCGTAAATACAACAGGATGACAAAAATTTCTGTATTGTAATAGGTTCTTAATACTAAGAATTATAATATCTGGATATAAGATTGCAATTTGATACATCATTCCTGTCGTGTGTATGTAAAATAAAGGTAAAATACTGCACTGAACTCTTGAGTTCAGTTTGCGAATGCGTCATCAGGAACGCACTAAAATTCACATCTTGTGTTGATAGGTACTCAGGGTCGACTGTGTAACAGGACATCCCAGGGTATGGATGGATGTAACCTCATGTGTTGTGGTCGAGGTTACAACACGCAGAAGACAATGATTCGAGAAAGATGCGACTGCAAGTTCCACTGGTGTTGCTACGTTGACTGCAAGATTTGTGTCAAGACAGTCGACGTCCACACCTGCAAGTAGAAATAATAATTGCCTGAACAAGATGGCAGAATGTTCTGCTACCTTTTACGTCCGTAAGTGGTACGGCAGAACGCCCGAATGAGATATCAGAATTCGCACGTTCGTAAGCAGGAAGTGCGTACCGCAAGAATAAGCGTTCATATCTGAACGTGAGGTGGCAAACACCTGAACAAGGCAAGACTTTAGACATGACACGTGTTTACAAATACACGTGTCTGTCACAGGACTGGACAATTGGTCCTATAAGAGGAAAGAAAACAAAACAGATGAATAATGTTGCCTGTTTGTTAGTTTGTTGTAGATGAAACTCCTTCATTCACGTTACAGTGGGTAAGTGTCCAACCAACTGTCTTTCTGCCCGACGTGGATTTGGTCAATGTTCTTTCTCTACTTACCACCAAAGTCAGTTATAGCTGGTATTCTCCTAAGCCACCAAATCGTGGGCCTTGCGGTTAGGACCCTAGACATGACAGGCAACGTCAAAGTCGGATCCTTCTGTGACTTTTAAAAAAAAGTGTACAAAGGATATTGCAATTCAAAATGCACTATGCAATTGGATAAGTTCATAGTGTGAGAAATGACGTCATTTAAAAGGTAAAATTGATTCGTGTAAGTGGGTTGATACACATTTAAAACGAAAGAAAGTTATTAGTGATTGATGCAAAAAACAGAATATTTTTCTGTATCTGTAAGTGTTTTCAAGGGGGACTGATGAAGTGAGCTCTGTGTGGTCCAGAAAGTTGGTAATATGATCTGCTTCCTGAAATAAGTGATTGGTCAGCTGTGATGCGTGTTTCTGGCACTACAAGAGTCACAACATTTTAATATTATTTTAAGTTATGATTTAATGGAAAAATGTGAAGGGTCCAGATGAATTTCTTGCTGTTTGATCTATATCTTATGTTCGGGACCCTGACCCAGCTTCCACTACGTGCGTGCTCGTACACACACACACACACACTTTTTCACACAGTGTTTCTGTTCCTCTATTCACTATGAAGAGTTGTTTACAATTTAAGTATCATTGCGCATCGCAAGTTAAGTTAGTATTTAAAATGTATTACAGCACTTAAAACAGAATATGCATAATGCAGTTTGCAAAGACTGTAAAACCAGATGGTCAGATTTTGGATAATATGATTGTATAAACAGAATATGGTTTACGGAAAGACATTCATAATTAGTAAACTTTAAATATAAATATTGATACATAAATATACAGCTTCCCCAGATAAGAATGTTCTTCAACACTCAGTCATTTATTTATTATGAAATTAAGAGTAAGTTTGCTTCAGTACTGAAGTGTGCTTTCTGAAATATACTTCGCTAAACTAGAAAATTGAAAAAAAAAATAAAAACAACAACTCAGAATCACATTTATATTTGGATAACGTCAGGATCTGCTTCTCGAGACGCTGGCACGAAAGATTTTTGCTGCCAATGGAAACTGACTCCAAGGAACGTGTTTAATCTTGACAGTCATCCGGCTAGTTACGAAATTTCCCTTTTTGTGGAACGTGAATGTTCATTATTATGTCACAAGCGTTTACTGTCCATGGTGGAATTCGACAGTTTTCGTGGCTGAATACACGCTACGTACCACTGAAACACGGTCACTGCGTTCCAAAAGATCAGGATATAATACTAGTTACTTTTACAAGGAGAATGCCAAGTTTGCATCTTAGGAGGAACGGAAATATTTTGAAAAAGTTCTGTATTTTAAACTGAGGTTTACACATTTTTCACTGAATTTGTAAAAAAAACAGTTTAGAACTGTTTATTACGGAATATTTTGGTGTGTAGTATTTCATTTATAAACAGAATGCAACAGATCCAGTGCCTAAGTTTACATTTTTTGTCCGAGTCGGACGTGTAGTGTGAACCATTGTGCAGTCACCACTGAGGAGTGCAGATCAATGCGACCTCCATGTTCGTGAATGTGAATTTACATCTGACTTTAATTCACCGTTGAGATGATGACAGATCTGCTTAAAGCGTCCTGTGAAATGTGAAGTTTGGTAACAACTTTATGTTTGGACACTGAAGACTGTGGCTGCCCCTGGATGCAGATGTGGGTTACAACTCTCTTAACAGCACCTGAAAAAGACGTCAAACATTGACTAAATTTGGTGCAACAGTGGAAGTGCATCAGGATGGAGATAAAATTTCCGTAACTCAGATCACGTGTCTTGACGCGCGACTTTATTTATTGCTTAAATGTGGAATTGCAAAACAATTCAGATTGATATTATTTGGTGTAAAGCGGAGATATTGCCAGGAGCGGAAGAATTCGGCGAGTGCGAACTTCTCTAGCTAGGCCTATTCTTTCCCTGTGGCTTCATAATTCTTGGGGGAGCGAGGCTGCCTCATGTACGTGAGGTTTTGAAAACATGTTTTTCATTATTTGGCAGCACTCCTTGGATAGGGGATCAGCCCACTGAATGGTCTCTGCTTACACAGTGTGAGACGACGCGGAGACACCCATACAATGAGTGGAATTCAAACCCATGATCCAAGACTCATGTCCCAGACTGCGTAGCCACTCTGACAAGCAGCTAGGCCTATGCTGTTCCAACTAGCGATGTAAAATGAACTTAAAGATGTCAGAAATAAGTGTTCAATAATTTGATGTACAGTTTTATATTATTTAAATTATAATTTGTACTGGCATTAACTAAATGAATATGGCAATAATAGTAGGTTTTTAGTGAAAATGCCGAAATTTTCTCTTAAAACTGTTTATCGAAAAACACCACACACGTAAGTACTGACATGAATGTGTAGGAAATTTTACGTTCAGAAAGAGTTATAAATTTTCTGTGACAGTAGTTGGGAGTTATCGATTCTTACAGATAATTTGAAAAGTAAATCAAAGTTACAGATCTTTAGTATAATTTTCGTGAACAGTTTGAATTTGCTAAGATTGTATTTCCATTGCGATGGTGAAACGTTTAATTTGATTCCTTAAACCAGTGAAATCTCCTTTCTTAGTTTGCTGGCCGGGTTACCAGATGTACATAAGCGGCGTGTTATTCGACAGCCCATGTTTTGTTACGTGTCGTTTAATCATGAGCGAAGGTTTAGTTCAAGAATAATAGAACTCGTTCTCAAAGTGTTTGGTAGTGTCAGTACCACAGCTTAATGTATATAGGTATATATTGACCATAAAACTATTTGTATTGTTTGCTGTGAATTAAGTGAATATTGCTGTAATTTTATAAGTGATGGTTCAGCTTGTTCTTAAAATTTCTGATATTAAATAGGAAAATTATCAGTAGTGCTACTGACAATCACATGAGGCGTGACTTGTTTGAGAACTCAAGAATTTTGAATTTGAGATTTGCATTACAAAATTTCAGGTTACTTTTGTAATTAATTAGAGGATGATAATAGTATTTACAATCTAAAGCACAACACGAAGAAACGTGTATCACATGAAGGAGCCAGGTTAGCTCGTTCATTATAGCGATCAGATTAAAGGCTGGATGACTGGGGTTTGATTCCTTGCAGGGCAGGAATTGTGTGTTTGCCGAAACATTAAAACCAGCTCTGGGGTCAACCTCGGGTACTCTTCTCAAGGGTAAAGTGACTGGGATAAAAAACAACAACTAAACATTCACTTCCATCTAATGGTGAAGTTAAGAATGCATGGAGCTATACCTTTGCTCCTCATGCATCTGCTTGGCGCTTAGTTAAGCACCAGAGACAAATTTATCTTTATAACTTGCTGCAACTCTTTGATAATCATGAAGGATGCAAAGAAGTTACATGATTTTGGTGATCTTTGTATAATATAATAGGCCTATTGAAACAAATCTGTACTGGTATTTTATTATTTTATTTATGGTAAATAGAAGTGGAATATGAAATAAAAAATACAAGCTTAACAAATGTGTACTTAAGTCTCAGAAGCCTAGACCATCCTCCAATCTTTATCAGCAGATAATACCAAGTAGTTCAACATATTTCTGATTTGTTGCATGAAATTTGCTATTATGTTGAACAGATGTTTCTAGAGACCTAAATATCTCACTTAAACCTTTCATTGTTATTAGGTTAAACTTATGTTAAGTGTGTTATATAATATTACAGAAGTTACATTTGTTTATTTATTCATGATCAGACCTTGGACATAGGACACAGGTAAGGCATGTGACCCAAAATTTACATACTTTTAAGTTTAAACTGAATTCCAGTCAGGTATAATACAGTATAAAAAGTAATTTTTTCATAGCAACAAACACAGTTTATTAAAAATATTAGTCCTTAATAGATTGAACCTTACATAGGTAAAAGACACAGGAAATATATATTTAGACCCTTAAAAAGTTGCCTACATGCAGTGTCTCCAACATAACTCATTGCTATGGTATTACTTTGAAATATAGTGCTTGTACTTACTTGTATACTTGTCAATTAAGATTCAATTGACACCATGCATAAATTCATAAATGTATAAACAATTTGTAAGTCATCAGATTAAAATATTTGTGAAGAATTAAATTGTCATTCTTCAGTCACATTTAGGGCTGGGTTACCACCAGTCAAGTTTTGGACTATGGTCTCCAGACTTCTCTCAAATTTGATAAGAATTAGAGTGAATATTAAAATAACCTAACCTAACTTTACTCTCTGACTGTAATATACAAGGAATGCTACAAGTACTTATTAGTAATTTATATTTATTCTTCTTTATCAAATTAGTGATAAAATACATACAATAATTAGTGGTTATTGGTGTTTTTTGTCGCACTGCAGTAACATAAAATTTCATAATTTTTTGTGAATGGGAAAATGAGCTAAAGGATTTAATAAGACAAATCTCCGGGCTTAAGAGACAGTAACCCTAATTTAGGGTGTCTTTACTTTGCTGTTCATTGCAGATTGTTCTGTGGTCAAAATTGTTAAATTACGCTGAATGGGAAACTTGTTCAGGATTTAAATTAAAAAAGGACATTTCTTTTCTTTTCGGGACGTTCATGTTTCTAATTGTGGTGACATTGGTCATGGTCATGTAACAAATGGCTGCCAATGTTGTTTCGTGTGAAGTTTCGTCGGACGAATAATGTTGGAATTGATGTGGTGTGATGACACCTACAGCAGAAAATGCATCATTTACTTCGTCAGTCATTGATTTAATATGTAATTATGTGTATGAATTATCAAATTTGGTGCTTGGTGCTTTATGTTTCACTCCAAATATCGCAGTTGAATCGTGGTCTACACATTTTGTGTTCGATTTATATGAGAGTGTCATTAATTGGTTAGCATTCGACGAATTTCAGATTACATTGTTGAAGGTATTCTTGATTGTCTTATGTGCAAATACAGTTCTAATTTATATATTTTGGAAATGTTATGGTGAGAGGATATCGGAGAAATTCGTGAGGCCAGGTACGTTCCTTATTTGAATTCTGCAGGTATGGATGTGCCATATGTAATCACCAAATAAACGAATTCTCGCATTGAATTATTCTTTTCACATTTTCAGTAACGTCAAAGGCTATTGAAGACTTGAAAAGGAGTGTGTCTTCGTTGAAGCTTCCCAAAGAACATTCTCCTACAGTTTAAGCAATCAAATTTCCAAAGAATATATACAAGCACTATGGCAGATAAAATAAAGAAGTATTTCCAGAAAAAGAAGGCAGATGCAAAATTTAAGTTAGCAGGGCCGGGACGCAAACTGGCTGATGAGAATACTTCTCAGTACAGAATTAATTCAGGTAGTTCCTATACTGCTGTTTCACGTACAGCACCATCAACAGAGTCCAGACAAGCAGCTGCAGCTGCTCTTGCACGCCTAGGTGGACAAAAGCAGGATCATGCAGGTTTCAATACGTAAGTGTGGGAAAAATTGTTTCAACAAGATTTATGTAGTTATCGAACTTCCTGTAACAATGTTGTGTTTTATTGTCTGATTCTCCCATGTGAATGAACAGTTGTGATATCTACATTTGAGTGTCATACTTTTCCACTCCAGTTCTCTTGCTGCTATTCAAGCTCAGGTACGAAGGGAACTTGAAGCAGAGAAGAAAGCAGCAGCTTTAGCATCAGTCAAGGAAACTTCGCTTCCAGATTATCAATCAGGACAGCAGGATGAATTGTCTTCACCATATTTAGCTGTTACTGGGGTGTTCTTCCGATGTCCAATGATTGGTTAGTTTTGTGATACAGTATGGTTGTTACTGATACCTGTTGATGGATGTGAGATTTATTCACCACTGCTGGACGTTGTAGCATAAACCATTCTGGTCCTGCTAACAGACCATTCACTGAATTTGGTTCTATTTTACTGATTTGGCTAACAAACAAACTATTCTGTCGCACCTAATATAACTGGTGATTCTATTATATGTATGTATGTTGTTGGTACTTAGAAACTTGAATTTTATACCTTGCGTACCGTGTAGAATAAATGAAAATTCATATAAATATGTGATATAAGAGATTTTCGAACATGGGAGATATCTCTGCATGATTATGGCTCTCGTTCATTTAATTTCTTCCTATAACATTAATTGTAGTGCATATATATAGCAGCTCTTAAATGATTTTTCCGGCGAAATTGTATTTCAACGGTACATAAATTACAACATCTCTTATTTATTCAGAGATTTTATTTTTATCTGATTCAGCAGTTTCATGTGTTTAGGCAAACTAATTTTGTTTGTGGAATTGTCATTCAGGTTTTCTGTGTGGGATAACAGTTTTAAAGAGTAAACTGAGACAGTTCATAAAATGAAGGAAAGCTGAAATTGAGATAATAGACCAAAAGAAAGTAACATTAAAGTTATTTATGTAGCAGTTGTTTTTGTATAAAATACAATTTTCTGAGAAATTTTATATGTAGTGGCTTCATGTTGTGGTTGACAGGTCCAGCTATATTGACCAAAGAAGAATGGAAAAAGAAGATTAAAGAGTTTCTTTATGAGCAGCTGGAAGAGGAACGTGGACTTACAGCATGTCTCATCATCCACACTTTTAATAAGAATAAAGAAAAGGTATATTTCCGCATTATTTTGTGTCATCTTGTGTGTGTGTTGCAAATCAAACAAAATTTTTATGCTAGCTGCAAGGAAGGGTTTTCTGTCTGAGCTCTCCAGTTGTATAAATGTTTGTCCGTCTAGAGGATGTTTAAAAACCTCGAAACAAATTTTTGGTGTTTTAATGAATGCGCATCTTGCAGGTTGCAGGTTGTGTGGACACATTGTGCAAGTACTTGGAAAACATAATCCAGAACCCGACAGAAGAGAAGTTCCGCAAGATTCGCCTGTCAAATAGGGTATATCAAGAAAAGGTTGCTTCCGTGGAAGGCACGCAGGACTTGCTTCTTGCTGCTGGGTTTAAAGTTGTGAAGTTGCCATTTCAGGATGGAGAGGAAGACTTCTGGGTGTTTTCAGAAGAAAATCTGGATAGTAATGAAACACTGCAAGTAAGTGTTTCTTTCTTATTCTTGAAAACATTGACATCTGGGCACTTAAACATGGCTAATTTTATTGAAAGACATATTTATTTAGGAAATCTTAATTCATTCAAACTTATACCATATTAATTAAGCATTCAGTAATACTCTGCCAGTGTCGTTACTGCTGTATACCGTCAAATATCTATGTCCCAGCATTAGATAATTGTTTTAATAATTAGGATCTGATTACATACAATGAAATTCTCATTTAATTTTCTATGACTAACTAACTAACTAGATGGCTTAGGGAATGCGAAGGTTCATCACCAAATTAACGAAAGCCCTCCACCAGCCCGTCCTGGACAAACAAAATCCAGTCACCTTCAACTCCTATCTCCCATAGATCCCACCTGAGATTGTCCTCCCATCTACGACTAGGTCTCCCCAGCAGTCTCTTCCCTTCAGGCTTCCCAACCAATACCTGGTGCACACCTCTTGTCCCATCCATGCGCGCTACGTGCCCCGCCCATCTTATTCTTCTCGACTTAATAACCCTGACAATACTGGGGGAGGAGTACAAATTTTTAAGTTTGTCATTGTGTAGTTTTCTCCACGCCCCATCGTCTTCTTTCCTAGGCCCAAATATCCTCCTAAACACCCTATTCTCAAACACCTGCAATCTGCGTTCCTCCCTCTGAGTGAGAGACCATGTTTCGCACCCATACATTTAGGTTTCTATGTGGTGCTGAAAATTACTTGAAGACAAGCACTGTTCAGCTAATTTTATGTGACTGATGAGTTAATGGCAATTGTAACAGACATGACAAAAATGGAAGATTTCCATGGAAGAGACTGTGTCGGGAACACGGACATGTATCAGAGGAAATCAGTCTTGATCTACTAGATGTAGGGTTTGAAGCTGAGACTAGATGCAGCTAAGGACAGGGTCCAAACACAGTTGCGAACTTGTGGAATTTCTTGACCAGTTGAATAACTAATATGTTTTAAGAATATCTGCGCACCTTGGAGTTAGTTGTGGGAGCTAAGAAATTTAAACACTAAACTGAGATGGACGTTAAAAGAAGAGAAGTTGGGAATTTGATAATTACTCTGGATACTGAACATAGAACAAGAGAAAACCTTAAAATAGGGCATGTTACACGAGGACTGCAGTGTACGTTCTTTGAGTTTTATTTAGCCTAAAGGACCACAGTAAAGGTGGCAGGACTGTTCTGATACCAAACCTGACCTGTTGGCATTCCTTTGGAAATTATAGCCATTTGGTGATTGAAATATGGCTGTAAGGACATGCAATGCGCCATTTATGATTGATTGGCATTTCAGCTGCAGAGATGTGTCAGTTGAGAAGAGATAAAATCATGAATGTGATCATGAGGACGCAGTTTTGACTTGTATCAGTGTACTATACTGGCATTTCCCTGAAGAGACTAATCAAAATCACAAAAGACTTCAGTCACAGCATCCAGTAAACTTGCCAGGATTTGAACCAGATACCTTCTGTATAGAAGTGTAGATCATTACCACTGCTTGTTTGATATGTGCCATTTAATTGGAAGAGGGTAGTTTAATTTAAGTCGTGAACGTGCGTAACATATTTGTGTGGGTTTAGGTTGCAGTAGAAAATTGGATAGGCATATTTTCATTTTTTGTAAACATTTCTTTGCTGACAAATGTTTCTATTATTTGCAGATTTTATATGATGCACTAGAAAGTGCTGAGCCCATTCCTCTGGAGCTTGACCGTAACCTTCAGGTGTTGTTTCCCTCACAGGCAGCAAAGCAAGTTGATCTTCCTCCAGTGTTCTTCAGCATGACACCAGAGGAACTAAAGAGAGAACAGCAAATGAGGTTTGTATAAAGACTTTTTGGACATTTGAATCAATATGCTATGGGCCAGCAACTTCATAAATTTATAATTATGATGATGATTGGTTTTTTCTAGCATTGCAAATGTTGAGAGCTAAACAAATCAGTATTAGTTCAGTCTTCATTAGCGTATGACTTTATACGCTGTTTTTGTCCTGGGCTCTGCAGAAATATTAGATCCCTGGTGATGAGAAACAAGACAGCTCTTGAAATGTCTGTTTTTTACAGCCAGTGGACGTGGCTGATTTCCCATAAAGACTGTTGAATTTAGTTACCACAAAAGCTATAATAGATCATACACTGTTTTCACAAGTTTGCATGAGTTATTTTTCAATGTGAAGTGTCTCAGGTGATTGTTTTATTTTGTTAACATTTTACCATATTTTTCAAAATGAGGGCCAAACGTCATATATTGCATAAAGAATTTAGAAGTTGTTGATTGTGAACTTCTGGGTCGTGATACCATAAAATTTTGTAGTTATCGATTGAAGTAAACATATAGGCATTGTATTGCTCTAAAATGCTGGTAGCCAACTATAAGATTACATGTTGTCACAACCCAGAAGAATGCAGTCGATGTTTTCACCACTGTGAGATCCGTGAGCCTCGGCTACTTTAAGCAGAAAGTGGAAAATGACTGACCATTGCAGTGTATAGATTAAACTGTACAAAACTGTTATTTTACCTGTTGTTTGGTATGGGTATAAAATTTGGTTTCTGACATTAAGGGAAGACCATTGGTTGAGGGTGTTTGAGAACAGGCTGCTGATGAGAATATTTTGGACTTATAGGGGTGAAGTGACAGAATTCCCAATGAGGACTTTCATAATTTTTACTCTTTACCAAGTATTATTAGGATTATCAAATTAGGGTGGATGAAATGTGCAATGCATATGGGGAGACAAGTTATGCATACAACATTTTGGTTGGAAAGTCTGTAGGGAAGAGACTGCCTGGAAGATTGCTGAGTGTAGAGCCATTAGCTACTGACATGTATTAAGGAATAAGTGAACTGCAAGTCACCCTCGGTGGACTACTGGTTAGCGTCCTTGCCACTGGACCCAAGGTCCGCGGGAAACCCGGCCGAGGTCGATGGATTTTTGAGGGTGATAGAAATCCGTAGCACAACTTCCTTTGGAGGGGAAGTAAAGCCGATGGTCCCATGTCGTAGATTTATGGCATGTAAAAGAACCTTACGAGCATGAAACTAGATGTTTCGTAAGTAAAATGCAGCAGTCATTTCTCTCTCTACTGATTCTCTACTAGATGGCTCTAGCAGTCAAATCCGGATTGAGTAGAAATTGTGCAGAGACAGTGGGCTGGTCACTAACTACTCACAAATGCACGCTTCAAAGACTAGGAAACGGCAAAGACCCACATCTTGGTTGCATGGCCAAGGAAGAAGAAGAAGTGAACTCCAAGCTCTCATATCTGATTTTTAAAAATTTGTTTCCTGTGCTGACTCTGGCTCATGTTGGAACCACAGAAGTAGAATACTGCCTTCCTACAATTAATGTCTTTAGATGGAATATCTGGTTGTGTTCTGTTTCTCTTCAGAGCTGAGGTAATTGAGAGAAGCCAAATGCTAAGGACAAAAGCTATGAGAGAGAAGGAGGAACAGCGTGAGATGCGTAAATACCGATATGCTATCATAAGGATTCGGTTTCCAGATGGCATTCTGATGCAGGTAATTATATTCTTTCCACAGTGTTCTAGTTATGGGACAGTGATTACAAAAAATTTTGAGCATAGGAGAAATGACCCATATAAAATGGGTATGTCTTAAGAAGAAAGGAGGAAAGAAGTAGAAATGAAGTAAGCAGAGGAAGGAGAGTATTACTTTGTTAGGGACTTCTTGATCTGTAGAGTTCACATAGTGCTCTTAGTGTGGAATTGGATATACCGTCTGTCCATTGATCATAGATATTAGTACTGAAATTCTTCATGAACACTGACATTTTGTCACTTAAATTTCATTTTTGACTTATTTTGTTATTGCATGCCTCATTTCAGGGTACTTTCTCAGTGTATGAGAAACTTGAAGCAGTCAATAGGTTTGTGAGGGAAAACCTGTTTAATGGAGATCTTCCATTCATACTTACCACACCAACGGGTCTTCACTTATGTAATGATGATGCTGACAAGAGCCTCGTGGACCTTCGCTTGATTCCTGCGACAGTCCTCACATTCGCATGGGATCCCTCCATTGTGGAAGATGTGGGTAATAGTGGACGGGAACTTACGTATTTGAAACAAGAAACTATGATCCTTCTGCAGCAACTGTAGCTGCACATCTGTTGTTATCTTTTGCTCTGTTGCATCATTCCATCATTCCTAGAAATTTATGTATTTAAGCATATAATTTAGTAGGTTGTTGATATATATTTGGCTTTGAAAATAAAGATGGCAGTCATTGTCCATCAGTTAATTTAGCAACATACAGAAATTATACCGATATTTATTTTAATTGGATGTTGATGTTGTAAATAATATTGAATTTGCAAATTTATGTCGTGTTATCGTCATTTTATCTTCTCATTATTGTTAACATATTATAATGTGGTTCTGCAAGTGAACAGAGCTGATATTAGTAAAATTTTTGGGAAAGGGATCAAGACTACTGATATGCAGTTGCAAGTACAAGACTTGTGTTAGGTTAATTTTTCAGCATATTTATAGTATGTTGTGCTTAATATGTAGATACAAAATTATTCCGAAATGTTAGCAGATGGGCCTGTTACATCCTGGTGTCATCACCAACAAGTTCCAATGAACCACCATGAAAATTGGAAAGCTTCCATGCAAGTTAGCTTTGTTGGATACTGTCCTTGCCTGAATGTAAGGCAGTGCTCATTTTTGACATTTTCATTAATTGAAAAATAATTTTGTCCAATTTTAATGCTGAGTTTGATACAGATGCTAGCAGTGTGAGAGAGCCTTTTGCCACATTGTAATAACATTGCATTGCATTGTGTTTTGCACAGTGGTTGTTTCCTGCTCACATTTAGTGACTGTGCTGTTCTGTAATATATTGAACATATGTAAAAATAAAATTTGCACTAAATAATTTGAGTGCTTGTACTTATGGTAGTGTAAACATTAACAGAAGTGGAGCAATTTTTTTGTGTTAATAAAGTTGGCCCTTTTCCATATAAATATGGTATAGTGGAAAGTAGGTATGTCCAGTACTTACATATGATTCAATGTATGATGATGTGATTTATTTCTGCCTAATAATAAAGTGATGTCAGATTCTATATGGAATTTGCATCATGTATATTGCCCAGATGATGGAGGTAGTATGCACCTCTGAACCAGTGTCAGATTCTAGGAGACATCGTGCAGTATCTCAGAAGACTGTCATCATCATTAAGTTGCATCCTTTCTATGTGCAGTTCCTATTTTTATAGTTGACTGTAGCATAATTGATGGAGAAACTTGGTTCCAAAATATGATATTACTGTTGAGCACACCCTGTAAAGTATTTTATACTAAGGCCTAAAAGAATTTGGGAGAAAGAAACCCATTGATACCTGTCAGATGTGAACAGCCCCTTGATAAATTTTGACCAAATTTTAGTATGCATTACAGAGAAAGTTGGAGATTTATTTGTGGAATGCGTAATAAAGACCGAACACCATGTCGCCTTAACTTTCAAAATCAGGTATTTTCAGCATTAGCTATCAAGTGGCTAGGTTCCCTCAGATGGACTGCAGCTGCCATATGTAAGGAAATTAATCCTTCCGATTTGAATTTTTATCAGTGATTTTTACTCTCTGTTCCTATGTGCGCAATGAGCATAGAGATCTGTGAGATCTAGAAGGCAGTGGTCAAGGAATATGCATTAACAGACGATTATTCTGAGGATGATGGACTTAATTTTGTTTCCAGCTTGGTGTTGAATAATTAAATTTAGAAAGTACGTATAGTACTTTGTATTTCGATTACTTGTATAACTGATCGATAATGTCATTAAGGATTGAGACAAATCATCGTTGTCGATAAGAGTCGCGTTGTGACGGCTAGTGTGTTCGTGGTTCAAGAGAGACCTATCAGTAATGCATTTTTGTATGTTGTAGATAATTTGTTGGCTGACAGTGTGTTTTGAGAGAAAGCCACAGTTGTAATTGTTAAAATTGTATCAGTTATGCGGCTTGCGATTCAAACTATGTATATATGTATTTTCAATTTTATGGATTTACATTAATGACTGATTACGATAGTTAAATATTTTTCCAAATTTTTAAATACAGATATGAACTTAATGGATGTATGATTGGTGATTAATAATCTGGCACTTGTTTTTGTACTCATGAAGGAAAACCACGGAAATCAAGAGCAGTCATCCTATTGCTTGTGCTACAAATATGGTAGGTTAGTGTTCTACTTACACATCTTTTAGTGGATGCTTTATAAATAAAATGTGATTAACAATTTTTAGTGAGTAGGTTTCACACTTGATTAGAATAATAATAGTTTTACATTGACATTTCCAAATTAAGTAAACTGTTGATATCTGGTTAACAAGTTTCTGTAATTGCAGACATATGGAGCTTCACAGGTAATGTATGCATTAATGCATGTTTTACTTGTTTGTGTGATTATTTTAGATAACCTGATTTGTTGCATGTTTATATGTAGTTCTTTATAGTAGGTATGATATGTTGTCTACTTTGAATATCACAAACTTTTATACATGATAATGTTTTGACTTCTGATCTTAAAATAATGAAATATATTTTGTGAGATACTGCTTCATGGAGGATAAGCATATGTGCTTTTTCATACTCTGAAACACTGTAATATGCATTCGGAATATAGTTGTATATATCCTTGTATTAAAAACTACAGTTAAAATTAAACCAGGAAGTTTTAACTTATCCTTTTTTTTTATATGGGTGGATCTTAGTTTTTATTAATTGCTTTATAAAATTGTTGTTTTGGCCATTGGAGCAATTCAGGATTAATGGCAGTGATGGTGCATGAGGTGGAAACCTCATGGTCGAAGGGAATGTTTAGTGTTTATTTAAAACTGTGTCGCTACACAAATTTCAGCTGAGTACAAGAAAGTTAGGTCAGGTTTCAGATTGTGTCAGAATTGTGTATCTTGAAATGGGCTGTCAGTCTCTTGTGCATTGTTTGCTAGTTTATTTAAATTTGTGCTGTAGTCTCAGTGACTCAGTAAAGAAATGTGTTGCAACTGTGTCTGAATCTTATCAGATAATAAGGAGATAAGGGTAATAAAAAGATGTTTTGATTAATTTGTTATGTTTGTTAATGGAAACTGGTAGGTGAAATATGACAATATTTAAATTAGAGATAGCAAAAATTATGCTTTACTTCATTCATTCATTCATTTATCCATCCATCCTTCTCCATCTGTCATTCACACTACTCACAGTTTATCATTAAATCATTTTTAATATTATGAACTGCCTCAATAAATTATAATAGTTATAAAGTTTGAGTGGCAATAGAAATTAAAGTGTCTGTTATCTTTGACATGCTTCATTCTGTTTTATGGGTCCTGTAAGAAGTATACATTAACAGTTATACTATTTAATGATTTAATTTTGTGCTTAATTTTCAAATAAATGAAAAGGAGACCCAAACAAAGTTGCAGTGGGATGGATTTTTCTCTGAGTCTTTCAGTTTTTCCCATCAATATCATTCCACTGTTGCTCCATATTCACTTATGTATCATCTGGGGATGGATGTTAGCCTTCTGTGTGTTGTAATGCTATGTACATTTGTAGGTATATACCAGTATTTCAGAGGAACATTCTGCAACTTGTTCTTGCAGAACTTTGATAATTGACCTACAAATCCACATAATGTTACAAGCCAGATGACCAATATTGGTATTTTGCCACTGTTAGGTCATGAAATCTCATATGGCTGCCAATGTTTCAGAGGAATTACTGCCTCTATCTTTAGAACAAAAGATAACTTCCTTGAAGTTGGAGGTAATATATGTTCACCAACTTAACATTTATCGTCCCGTGGAAGAATACGGAGGCACTGACATACCAGCGATAATTATGAGAGATATTTTGGCATTCAAATGTAGAAGTAGAGCATTTATGTATATAGGAGATAGGAAAGATGGTTTCCAGTCATGATCTAGGTCAGGGATTCTTCATGGTAAGAAGGAGGGCTTTCACCAGAACTTCTCTTGCTGTGTTCTTTGGGTGGTGAAAGTTATAGCAGACCCTCAAGGTAAAAAAGCCAACAAGCAATTACATACACATATTTTACACTGAATGTGTATGAGGTGCCTATGAGCCAAGGTGATGTACAAGCAGCTGATTATTCCTAGATTGAGAATTTCCTTCTTATTTTTTATTCACTGCTCAGGTGTGAGGTCAGGCCAGTCTGTTGACCGTTTGTTTTCATGTCTTCCAGTCCATGTAATAGAATTTGACAGAACATTGTATGGGATATGTATGGTGAACTGTGTGAAACAGTTCTAGTAACACGAAAGGAAAATGTTGTGGCTTATTTTAAGGTACTAACACTGGAGGTACTGGAAGGACTGCAGAACTACAAGAACATGAGGGCAGGATAATTATCCACATATAGTATGCACTGATTAATATAAAAAATAATGTCTTAACGTCGTTGTGTTCCTTTCCAGAAGGCTGATTAGAAGAAATGATCCATCACTGCAGTTATTTGGGAGCATTACCAATTGGCCTTTCGTGGCTGAACCTACTGCTAATTGAGTGGAAATCAGAAAGCACAGGCTGAATTTCGAGAAACTGCTGGACGAAGATGCCTCGAGTCAGTGAAGGTGGAGTAGGTGGAAGGGTGGCTGCAGAACCAGGGGCAGCTGCAGGTGGCGATGGCAATGCTGGGAATGGTCCGCTTCCGGGCGGAGATAACGTTGGTGGAGGAGCAGGCAACAATAATCGTGCTCGTAACAACAACAACCAGAATCCCCTCATCAATGTTAGAGACAGGCTGTTCCATGCTTTGTTCTTCAAAGCAGCCTTAGCTTATGCACACACTTTCCCGAGGCCTGTCAGAAGGCTTCTTGAGTTTGTAGTGTTATTAAAGGTAAGAGCTCTGCATAACATTTAACACCATTAATAGTCAGTCAAATTTGAAGTTCTTAAGATGAAATCAAGTATTTTATTTGAAGCCAGGGCTGACTGCTTATAATGTTCAAAATATTTGGTCCCTTGGAACAGAATAATGTGATTGCCTTCTTCTGGCGCTATTTTAAATTGCAGTATTTTTTTTTACAAATTTCTTGAAGTGAAAGTGATTCTTTTCTGTAATTACAGGCTATCACCGCTTTTTTTGTGCTGGCATACATACATGTAGCCTTTTCGCGTTCACCCACAAATTGTCTGGAACACATAAAAGACGACTGGCCTAGACAGGGGATTCTTCGTGTTGAAATACTTCGTAACGGTGCTGATGACTATAATATCGAGAAGTCATATGCAAAAGAGGAGAAACTTAGGCACGAAAACACTGGTGATTTGAGCAGCATGTTGGGGATTCTTTCGAGAGATGGGTAAGATATGATTTTGTCGTACGTTTGTATGAATAGGAATGAACCCATTTTCTATTCAGAGCATGTAATAACGAGTTTGGTCGAGAAGGAATGTTGATTATTACATGTATTTATTCTGTGGTCATAATTTAATTTTAAGTCCACAGAACATCTAATCTTTATATTTCAAGTTTTTGCAACACGTAGGATTATATTTTTGTTCTTTGAACTTTCAAGTAACTGTCCATGGGATCATGTCTAAAATATTGTTTTTTGTTATATGACTTTAAATAAACAGGTCGTATGAATTCCTACGCACAGTTCAATTTGAATTTGAGAAAATTGTACTCTTTATTTCTAATAGTAAAGCAAACATTTTTGGTTTTTGTGGTAGTCCCTAATAATTTCAGAGTCTTCTGAGTATAATTCCACTTCCATTCGAACTTAATGAACTCTCTGAATACATTGTGTAAGCCTCTTCGCAGTGTGCCACAAAGTTAACCAAAGTTCAGTTGGCAGCAGCTTTTGTTGTGGTCCGTAATAGTGATTGCGTTAGTTATGGTCTGACGTCGGTGGGTGACCACCGGATAAATCTGTGCTCAAGATTTATGTTCGCAACATTCTGTTGGCATTGTTCTGGACCTGTGGAAATTTGTGACGGTCTGTTATATTCGTACATAAATCTTCTGATCTGTCCCCAACACTGATTAAGGAGACAGCAGATTCCTTTTAAATGTTGGCAAGTTTTAGCAATTGACATGGTTGTGGTACTCAAGGAGTCTGCAGTGAAACAAAAATTTATCTTCTTCCTGTTGAACTGAAGCTGTGTCTTTGCATTGTTTTGACAGGTTTGTTAATATTGAGCCATCCGCCGTAGAGGAAGTTGTTCAAGATCCAAATGATGTGTCAGGAGTAGGTTTGAGCAATAGCAGTTTAGATGAGAAAATACTGAGCACAGAAGTTGGCAGCAACATCCATACTATGGAAGAGGAATCCACTAAACTTAGGATAACAAATATCTCTGAAGGTGAGTATGGATTGAGAGTGGGATGCCAGTACCACTGCCATCCTGTCTTTGTGCGCTTTGTCGGTAAGAAATCCAGCCTGAAGACGAGCAAATTCCAGAACTGCAGTACCGTTTGGTGTAAGTTCTTTTTTTTTTTGAAGGGCGTGCTGGTTTTGATTAAATGTTTATGAGAATAATAAAATAAATTTGTTAGTCATCGTATCATTCAGTGCTTTGTAGTCTGAGCTACTGATGGCATCACAATATCACAAATAATGTCTTGACTTACTGTTTCGTATTGATTGTAAAGTCACGAAAACTTTCCAAAGTTTGTTAGGTTTGGGTTTGTTTATGCCTTCATCCCCTTCAGATCTTGAATGGTGTATCATAAAATATTTTGTCTCAGATTCACAATTTTAATGGCAAAATTACCAAGAAGTTGTAATGTTTCATGTTCTTACAAGTCACAATCTGTAGCAAGTCTACAAAATGTGCCATGCTGACAGGTTACTAATTTCTTCAGTCTGCGACGTTCAAGGTTGTCACTAACACTTGCCAGTGCAGTATCATAATAAACTATTTTGCATTCGGTATAAGACGGTAGAAATCTAGCTTGCGTTGTAAGTTTATGTTGGTAGCGTGAGCTACTTGGCACTGCTCACAAATTTTTATTTACGCCTGTAAAGTGATGCTGTCAAATGTGCTCCTGTTTCCTAAATATGTATATTTTAAGGAGAATTTACAGTGCTAATTGAAAGATTTTAATATGTAATCAACGTACTACAGTACTACATCAGTACCCAAAAATATAGATGTATATTGTATTTTTATCCCGTGACATTTCTCGTAGTCGTTAACATCACCCAAAAAAAAAAGCCAGACTTGCTGCAGCCATCGTTGCGTTAAAGAGAAGCTGACTGTGTTGTTCTCCTCGACTAAACAGCATTTTTATGTTTCAGACGCTGAGGTTCCAGCTGCTTCTGCTGTTTGGGGTGGGACATCCTCTGAATCTGAACAGGTGTGTTGACGACGTAGCTTAAGTTTGGAAATACCGAAGTGCTTTGATAAAGAAGCCCCTGAAAGGAATTGTACGTGGATAGAAATGCACCTGATCAGGACAAAAATGTGTTTACGCTGTATCATGTCAGTGCTATGCGGCATGGAAGGATAACTGGACGTATTTTGATGTACTCGGTTTTTATTTCACGTGACTTAACTGCAGCTGTTTAAATGTGGTGGGTCTTTACACAAAGCTGTGGGTTCAGTTTTCTGAAACGGCCCAAAATTCCTGAGGTAGTGCGCTGGTTGAAAGTATGTGTTTTAGATACTGACATGTGTACGCTACGATGAAACCGAGGAGTTTCCGTGGTGATGATGATGTGCCCAGATATGGTGACTGACATTTTTGTGAGTTGTTTCCACACGAATGCTAGGTCTGTAATTATCCGCTTACTATTCATAATCTTGTTATCATTTTCTGATACTGCAGTTGAACTAGCATTGTTAAATAACCCAAAAATGAATAAGAATATTGTTTCATTTTGTTTTAGGGTCTGAATTTATGTTTTTAGTTTTTCCCTTGCTGGGAGATTAATTCACCTCTCGTTAATCAGTAGAAGAACGCGGTGTCGGCATAATATGTAGTAGGAACAGATAAAGCTGCTTATTTTTGGCGGTCACAGAAAGTCAACAGGACTAAGGTGGTTAGTTCCGAAGCACGGTCTTACCATTGCGTTATCGTGTCGTTCACCGTTACATTCCAGATTCCTGCTCAGAGATTCAGGGCAGCCTGAAGGTTTAGACACGGAAGAAGAGGCGAGAATTAGAAGTTGTAGAGGACACGTATTGTTATCCATAGTTTAATGACTGTAAAAATTGATTGATCAAATTGGTACGGTCAGGAGTAAATTGTGTATGAATATTGAGCCTAGGTAGCTCAGTCAGTACAGTGAGCGTTTGAGCAGAGGATTTTCCTCACGGCTCTACCTCTGGACCACCCCGTGTCCAATGGGGTGTAAAGTGCAGCTGGGTTGTGACGCTGACCACTCACCCCTGTCTAGTGCCGAAGTTAAGAAGGAGGAGGAGCTATACCTCGTCCACCCCCTCCCCCAAGTGCTTTACTTTTTACTTTTACAAAATTTTCCATATATTTGTCACACGAAAACTCTTGTAGGATGACATCATTTCTGTTAAGTGGACTGTTAAATATATTGTAAGATTACTCGTATTTAAATTCTGGGTTCTTTGCGGTATGGGTTTATTACGCTGACTATTATTAAATTAATTATATTAAATTAGTTTATACCTACCTACGTTTTGTCTCATGACTTTGCTTGCATTCAAGTTCAAATACTGCTTCTATCTTTGTCCTTCAAATTCTTCACAGCTGAAGTCTGTCTGTCTCGAATTTAAATTTAAAAAGTGACGCTGGCCACCCACGCGTCTTTCTATGTCCACATCGTCCCGAGACGTTGTTTCTCGGTAATTTTTCATCCCACCGTTCTGGAGCCAACGCAGCCTCCTGTCCAGCTGGTACCGGGGGGTCCTTCCCCGGGGGTAAAGCACAGTGCACTGACCACTCCCCCTAAGCTCCTACGTGGCTTGTAATGGGACATCATCATATTTTTTTTACAAGGCGACTTGAGTTCCTTTGGTTTAATTCAGGAAGCACGGGACTGGGTGGCTGCCGGGAGCAACGCACGCCCTCGCATCTTACGTCGTGTTAATGCTCACTTCCTCGCTTATGAGGAGAAACACTTCCGTTTCATACATTTGAATCTCCTGATGCAGTTTCATATCAGAAGATTTAATGTTTAACTCTGATTTATTATTGTAATCAGATGTTGAAGGTGTAAAGATTTTTCAGCTGATGATTTATGCAAAGTTTTAAAATGAGTTACCGCAGTTTCTTCTATTTTGTGAAGTCTCTTTGCCTTTGGTCCTTGTTAAAAATATACTGTTTAACGCTTCTGTTTGCCTCCCGTCTCTCGGGCCGTCGTCCTCGCGGGCTGTCGTCTTTTGCCGGCCGGCCACTTGCGCCGTGTGACTGTAGTGTTCTTGTTTTGCAGTTTGTTGTTAACGCAAATGAAACTCTACAGGAAGATGACATGCTGAGCGGTGGCAGAATAATTTCTCCGTTGAAAGAATCTGTATCCGAAGTGAAGAAACTGGTCCGAGCAGGTGCGTTAAGAACTTCGTATTTTTTGCTTCAGTTTTTATTAAAAATGTAGTAGTAGTCACTGTGTGAGAATTAATAAAATTTGGGCGTTTTATTGTAAGACAAAAATTCTGGTATTCGTTGTACGCGCAGAGTCGTGTACTTCCTTGATTTTAAGGGACACTTGTTTTCACTTTTTAAAATTTCTGAAATCGGGGCACGTCTCGCATTTGATGGCATTTAAGAATTTGTGTTGAAAAATTACGTCGGATGACCGAAGCGCAAGGAAAATCTCAATGTCCGCGACGCTAGTCGTGGGACAGCAAACACATTTTGTCACGTACATATTTTTTTCATGAAAACCTGTCACTGGGTCAGTCGCATCTTAAGATTGAGGAAACGCTTCTTTCTCGTTGTCTGTCTTAGCGCTCAGGCGGAGGAACAACTTTTTTTTTGTTGTATCTTGAGAGGATGCTTTTCATGGTTTCTGTAGTTCCAGTTTGGCCAGAAGAAGTGTACATCGTAGAGTATTCGCTGGAGTACGGGTTCCTGCGTCTTTCGCCTGGAACTCGTCAGAAGCTCAACATACCCGTGAAGATCGTGACCTTGGATGCGAGCAAAGACTCGTGCTTCGGCGACGCTTTCAGCCGCCTCATCCTGGACGGCTTCCTGGGATATGACGATCTGCTTATGGCTAGCATCAAGACTCTTGCCGAGCAAGAGGATAACAAAGGCTATCTCAGGTGATGGTCGTGTTTGTTTCTTTGTTTGTTTGTTACTGTTGTTATTATGCAGTCTTCAAGTTCGCTGAGCATCGTAGAAATTGATGCTCGTCACGGATGACATTTCTGAAGGCGTCCTCTGATAACACAAATGTTTTTTGTGCCATTCTTGCAGGAACGTGGTAACAGGAGAACACTACCGCTTCGTCAGCATGTGGATGGCCCGCACGTCGTATCTGGCCGCCTTCTTCATCATGCTAGTTTTTGTGAGTACGCGTCTTTTGAATCGTTGTCTCATCTGGTGGTGTCCTCTTTTACTCGGAACAATTTATAATTTTTATGAGACTGAGCAGTTCTGGTTGAGTTGCCCCCTTCTTGTCCCCGCTTGCCGCGGGAACTCCGCGTCTTTCTTTCCTGTCGTCGCGCGGACTTGTTACGAGAAGTCTCGGACATAAATGACGATTGCCAAAGCTAAAGATGTTTTCTATGAGAAGGAAGAATTGGCCGAGTTTCCCTGCAGCGACGCCGCGTATGTTTCATTGTAGAGCCTTCCGTTCTGCCACGAACACTTCTTCTTTATCTCTGTGTTTTTGTAACTTCCTATACCTAAACTGTCCGCAGTCTTCTCAGTGGCAATTTATTAAAATGTGTGTAGTTACTAATTAAGCACGGACCTAAGTTAACATGTAAGTGGGGTCGGACGAGCAGCGCTCCGGAGCCCTTGCAGACAGCGGACGAGGGGCTCAGGTGCGGTCGTTGGGATGTAATTCAATCTCGATGGCCTCCCCGATCATCCAGTCCGTCCTTCACCAAAGAAAACTGGAAATCTTTGGCGGACGACGCGGTTGAAAGTCGTTCCGACGTGGGGCAGGGACACCCTTGCCGACGGGTCGAGGGCTCGTCGGACCCGTCGGTCGGTGTGACCGTTCTGCCCAAAAGTGATTCTGAGTGGCTGGTCTTCACCCCCTGATGACGGCAGAAATTACGGCCTGCTTATTGTTTGGGCCGCGTTGTCAAAATGAATGTGGAGTTCCTTGGGTTATGAAGATAAGCCTGGAAATAAATAAAATGAAGTAAAAGAAGTGGAGAGTTTTCGTTTCTCAGGAATGAAGAAATTGCTTGCTTACGTTGAGATATGGAGCAGAAACCTGGACATGGACCGTCGTCAGGAGCGGAGGTGAGATTTTTAGGAAGTGCAGGAGCTGGAACTAGAAGTGATAAAGATTCAAAGCTCTCAGATAACAAAATGAAATGTTACGGACACTTTTTAATGTCAGTCTAAATCGAAAATGGACGGGAACGACGACCACAGGAAGAAAGTGAGGAGGTGGGATCGTGGGAGGACGAGACAGACGGAGGGCCTTCGCTAGCGAGCGAACTACTTAGAGCGGAAACATCTTACGAAGAAGAAGAAGTCGCTCACATTGGCAGAGCACTGTAGTTGCACAGATATAACGTGCGCGTCCTTCTGCAGATACCTTCAAGAAACCGATCGTCCGCGCTCGTCTTCGATCTGTGTTAAAACTGCCGTTGAAGGTGTCCAGGAGATGTTTGAAGGAATGCAGTACAGAAATTCCACAGATAATCACTGCTGCAATCACCAGTTTAAGCTGTCAATATCGCCTTTTGTGTTAGAACGGTCTCTCATGTGGAATGTGGCGGTGATTTCTCTCTGATCCCTGTTTTAGGCCAAACTTCATGAAATTCTTCTTTTATGTACAGATTAATTTGTTTAACGCAAAGTGACGGCCTTCCACGTTTTGCACCTGGAAAAGCGCTGACAGAACTCGTAAAAACATTTTTGCCTTAAGATAACCTTCGAGCTTGCAAATATTTTGGTGTCTGCATTAAATGTTTTAAATTAGGTTGCCATAACGTCTTAAAATTTTTTGAAGTTTCACCAGATTAATTTTGGTTTCAGACGTGAATGACTTTTAGAAAGTGACATATTTAAGTAAGTTTTCTTTCAGTCATTTTTAAGTGGCCTTTAATTCACGTGAAACTGCGCCCATGCGCTTTAATTCGTGCCCGAAATGTGGCCTCGTAAGGACTGTATTAACACCCACCATAAAGCGCGGCATCGGATTTACGTCTACAGGAAAACTCTTTATAGCTGCGTCATGTTTTTTATTGGGGCTCCTCATAGGCGAGGGGCGGATGACGGATTGCTAGGTATAGAGTGACGCAGGCAACCGAATTTCTCGTCAATAGCGCCTGATGATGGCCTATAACGTCTCCTGTGACCATGATTACGACCCGCCCGCGTTATTCATCGAGTTCCTACTGCAGGGCGAGTATAATCATAATTTTGATATATTGTGCGAGCTGAGTGTATGGTATAGTAATTGATGCCCCCTTCCACCGTCGGTGTCCTGTGTCTGCTGCTATATGACTCCAGCCCTTCCAGCAAGCCAAGGGGTGAACGGATACCCTGGCAGCAGCTAGGGTTAATTAGGTCATTAACTTCAAACTGCATGGCAGAGAGGAGGGTATCATTTCACTGCGAGGAAGATGAATACGCAGTGATTTAGAATGTGTACCCGATTCGAGCAAGGCCTTTGCTATTTTTGGTTCGTTATCGCGTAATCATATGTCGCGGTCTCCGGACAAAGCTTCGCATTCAGCCTCTTTGTGTGAGAAGTGTATTTATGCAACTGTGTGGTCGTTAAAGAGTGTAACAAGTTATTTAGATACGCTCTCACTGGCAGGCAACTTTGTTTTGATCGCCAATTAAACGCGTGTCCTTTGTTTTGCAACTTGTAACGTGGAATCGACAAGAGACACGTGTCTGCGTGTATCAATTTGCGAATCTTTGTCCGATGGTTGTTCCGGGACTTGAAGCTCGTTTCCTTCGTTTACGCTTCGTGCCATGAGGTCGCGTGCTCCGATGATGCCCACCGGGACAACCTGGGGGCAATCGCAAAGTTGTTCTTGCCCGGAATCGCTCGTGCAGTAGTGAAATTTTTTACGTCGCCCTGATGGCAGTCTTCGTCGTTTTGACGTGAGATTTCTCGAAGCAAGTGGACGGTCTTTGCGTTGCAGCTGTGACGTCCTGTCCTTTGGACGCAGATATCATAATCAAGTTTTAGAATTAACTTCAGTCTAATGAGTAGAATTCCTTTTTGCGCATGATTTTCGCTAATTGTCTGTTCCCCCATTAAGTTCCAGAACCTTGCACTCTCCTCCACCTCATAAGTTTGCACGACATTCAATCCATGCTCTTCTCTTTCAGACCGTATCGGTATCCATGTTGCTGCGATATTCTCATCACCAGATCTTCATCTTCATAGGTAAGTCTCTTTGCCGTTTTTTTTGGTAAAAATACGCACGGGGCCATCTTTAGATGTTATTGCTAATGTGGGCGTTTATAATTTCTCCTTCGCTGTAAGAGGAGAGCATTTTTATCTCCGAAACGAAGTACGCGATGTTCACATTTTGTTGGCGATTCTTACGCCTCGTAAATTGTATAGAAAAAGTGTTTTAATCGCAGAGTGCGTTACACTTTCTTCGTTTTTCTTTTGTGTACCTGAAAACGTGTCAACGAGAAAGTCGAGTGGATTCGGTTTGTGGCGTGTCTTAACATGTTCAACGCCAGTCACTTTGCAGTGTTGTGATATTAATTTTGTGTTTGCGTGTTGTTGGACGCTCAGTCAGCGCTAATAATTTGGGACATTTAACAATTTTATAACTACAAAAAATTTCGGTACTCTTGTGTCAACTTCCGAACTTGCCCGATTGACGTTGAAAAATCTCTGAGATATTTAAAGCGCCAAGCGCGTATTAACTTGAATGTAGTTTTTCGGAATTGAATTTGCCCCGATAAAAGCTTTGTTTGATGTCAGTGCGTGTAAAGTTTGCTGGATTTTGTAATTTTTCGTGTAGAAATAATCAGCAGTAGAAAACGTTTTGATTTCCTCAATTTGAGGGCAATAAATTCCTCTCGATTGATCTCTGGCAGTACAGAAAGAGACTCGTTGGCCCTAAATATCATTAATGGGGATTCGTGCAAATAAGCCGGTCTCCGCGAAGAGACGAAATTTCGAAATATTACGTAACCTCAATCGGCGTCATTGTATGATTCCGTGTTTGTCTGGCGAAAGTAGGATGAAATCTCCACGTCCTACACAAGATTTGCCCTCTTTTGGCGAATGGAATAATTTAAATAATATTTGTGAACTATTTCTGCAAGTATGAGTCAGATTGTTACGAAGGGGGGGACCCCCCCCCCCCAAATAAAACGCATGGAAAGGAAGAAGTCTGTAGTTGGGGGGACGAAGTTGATGTTGAATTGTATTTTCCAGTGCAGATCGTTGTCAGATTTCGATGTTTTAACATTGAAGCACAGAGCTGTGACACCGGAAGATTTCCATCCGTCAGACTGTCAGACTCTCGAGCTCTGCCGCCGACTGAGGCTTGTATTAGTGGTAACTTCCTGCGCCTGAGACGAGACGAGCCTTTGTGCGCGTATGCACGTACGCCACAAGGATGTTCAAAACGTGGCCTGCGGATCAGACGATCGACAAACGGAACTCGACCTAAATTATATACCGAGTGGCGCGAAATTTCCCGCACTTTGTCAGCGTGGTTCGTGCCTTATACTATTCCTCGGAATTGCAGTTTTTTTATTTGGATATTTTTTAAATGCGAATAGAGTTACAGCTGTTTAAACTGAGGACTAAAGCATTTTTAGAAAACTTGCGTATTTAACTTATACAACTTTCATTTATATAAAATTTTTGTCGTAAACTTTTGAGTGAATGTCAACATAACAGGGACAGAGTAGACCTAATAAGTGACGGTGATTAAGTCGGACGTTCTCAAATTGGGGGGGGGGGACTGTAGAGCAGGACGTTGAACTGACAGCCTCTCTTCTTATTGCAAATTTCTCATTGTTCCCGTCTCTTGTGGGCCTCCGCCACAGCGGGATATTGGTTTTCCCCTACGTCACGTCATTGAGTCATCAGCCCGTTGCGAGTTTCATTCCAGCCCGTAACTTTATAACGGGCAGTGGGATGTTCTTTCTCAGTGCGTCCACGTATATCCGCAGTTGATCGCAGTTACAGTTTGCATTTGCGGAACTGGAGCTGCGAGCATCACAAAACCAATTGCGGGAATTCCCAGCGGATGTCAATGTCGTGTGCAGAGGGCAAGAAGGAAACAACTCTCGTTTTCAACTTCAGAAGCATGTCCTGTACAGTTATTTTTGGATTCTGTGATGGCGCGTGGCGTATTTGACGACTCTGCATCAACTGCAGAGGCTGTGCAACTTTCAGTGAGTTGTAAAGATGAGACAGCAAATAGTTCTGGCATTTTCCGAGCTGTTGTCGCAGAATTCGCGGAGTGAGGAATAATTTTAAGTCCGGAATTCAATTTCTGCTACGGATGAGAACCCAAATGCGGTGTAGAGTAATTTGAGTAAGAGAACCGGATACAAATATTCAAACGAAATTACGGCCGTCAGTGTTGTGTGCTTTTTCGCACCTTTTCGAGAAAGCGGATTTGGCCTCCTTTCGTTTCTTGTGATGCTGTAGGAAACAAAAGCTGAGCTGGAGGAAAAGCATCTGCAAAATTGTCGCGAACCCCGGATTTTAAATGCGTTTTACACGCACAAAGAGGAACGTATAAAATGCGAATGATTTTGAAAGCTAAAGAAGTGAGTTATTTCGTTTTTCCTCCGAAGCGCTGCTACTGCGCGTACTATTTATTCCGGCGTTTATTGGAAAGTTTCGAATGTCGTCTCCTGTCATCTGCATTAGAATGTTTGCGCTTTGCACTGGCGACTGAGTGAAGTACAGTCAAGTCATGCTGGAAAATAAATTGAGCGTCCCTCGCCGCGGTGTTTGGTTTCACTGAGCCCTTCCGTGATGCATTTTATTTATAGTTCAGCGTAGTGTTATGCTAACTGGATGTAAGCGCTCGTCTGATACGTTTCTGCGTCCTTCAGCCCTCTGGTTGTGTGACGGCCTCCGCCTTGGCAAACGGTCAAAAAGTAATTCACCAGAGGAGGTGGCCGGTGTTGTGTGCGAGATATCACGTTCATAGCACGGAAGGGATTAACTGGAAAAAAAAGAATAATACGCGCGATGGCGTAAGATCCGCGCTTTATGAAATTCAGCTGTGGTAATTATTTCGGAATGAGCGTTTTTTTTTGAATGGTCTGCCTTCTTCATTCACCCGTCGCGTGTCCCCAGGGTCGGTGCCCCTCGCGTTCAAGAGGGCTCAGGCCTGACCGTCGTCCTTTGTAGTCGTCTGCTCGCATTCGCTTCCTTCCTCGTGTCTTCGTTGTTAATTCCGCGAACTCTCGTGTGTCCCTCGACGCTTCCGACATTTTTCATTTCCGCAACGTGAATTTTGCACTCGTGTCCCAAAAATTTCACTTTTATGTGAAAAAGTACGAACTGCTTTCAGCTTCGTCTCCCTCTGAAGGAGTCATTTCAATGTTCTGTTTATCCTCCCACCCCGCGTATTACTCGATAACGTCGTGTTTTATTGTTTATTTTTTCGGGTTCAAAAGAAATGTCACGGCCCATTCCCCAGTTGACAGTAAAACGGTTTTTATAACCGAATTGCAATTATATATTTTTTTAATCGAATTCGATAATTTTCCTTGTAAGGGTTAGTAAAATGCGCCCTAGCCTTCGCGTTTATTCCCACTTCATCCTTGAGGTGTTTTCGTGGTTCCACCTGGTGGCGTCAATATGTCTTTGTTCGGTGATTTAAGGTACAATTTGGCTGCACGCGACAGAGACAAGCGACCGAGGCAGGCGACAGAGTTACGAGACCGAGACTGGTCGCTTCCTGTCTGCTCTCTGTACAATCGTATGAAGTACAATTACGAGCGCGAGACAAAGCACAGGAGACCGCTCTCGGACCAGTAGTGTCTCGCGACGGGCTCAGGCAGCACGTGTGTTGTTGAGTAAAATAATGGCAGAAATTAAATTTACTGGTGACCAAGAGGAGCAATTGGTAGAATTAGTAGCAGAAAACCGACCACTGACCACCGACAGAAAGATCCTTCTTCGCGTCTGGTTTTGAATATTGAACTCATAGGTTTTCTTTGTTTCTTTCGCAACAAATAACACAGCATCACATCATCATCTTCTTCTTCGAGTAACCTTTTTAGAAGAATTTTTGTACTCATTTTTCACAGAATATGTGCACGTATGTCTCAACAAAACAAAGAAAACAAACACTTCGCCGCATGTCTCGGTCGTCACCTCAAAAGTTTGTGGCGACAAGCTGCGATGTGTCCGTCTCCCGTCTCTGTCGCCTGCCTCGGTCGCTTGTCTCTGTCGCGTGCAGCCAAATTGTACCTTTAGGTGCCGTTTGCCGGATTGTGCGAGGTTGCGTTAAAGTTTTGACTATTGATCCAGTTTGTTTGTTTCTTTCTTTAGTGTGTTGACAGTTACGAAAAGCCACTGCATTTATGTTTACTGAGAACAGATTATTCACTTGAACCGAAGGATTTATCCTGCATTAGCTAAAGCACCTTTTCTTCGCATGGGCGGTTCTTGTAATAAACAACACTGAAATTGCATTAGGAAATATCGTCATGTCACACGCATTTAATAAAAATGTTGCTGTATCGTGAATGCATATTTACAAAACTTTCCTATCTTGACTGACACATGTAAATTAATGCACTCCAAGAAACAAAATCTTATTTTTTTAAATTAAGGTCAAATTCAGGGTTTAAAACCGAAAAGATGTGACGTCGCACGTCTTTTGTTTCTGATGCTTTTAAGTGCCAGTATGTCACGTCGCTTGATGCATCAAACCGAATATGGTCGCACAGATGTGAACTTGGATCGGTTTGTTTTTGAACCCAGATCTGATCTGATCTGATCTAGCAGCGACCTGACAGGTCGGAAGGAGACGGGAGGACTGTCCCACCTCCTGTCGGCTGTTCTGAAGCTTACCTTTCGAGACATTCCGTGTCGTCATTGACAGTCAATGTGGCGTCTCGCGTAGGAAAGGAAAGTAAATTAAAACTGCATTTACCTAAACCGATTACAGGTGCAGTCTTATCCAATACTTCCCATGCGAATCTCCAACCTGAATACAACGTGCACTCAAAATGGTATGAATTAAATTTGATATTATTCATTGATTAATTGTTGGAACGATATTCTTGGAGGTACGGGTGACTTTTTTATTTCGTTATCCGCGCTGTCGCAGTCCCCGTTCTCGCTTATCCGCGGTTGTATTTAAGTATCAAGAGCGCCCACTTCATTTGTGCCTTCGCTTGAAGAAGCTCCCGTGGGCTCACGTTTACCTTCATCTGAGACATCTGACATTGACATTGATCTGATTCTTCGTAACTGGCCCGCTCGTATTAGCAACAGCGATTACTGCATTTGTAAGTGAAATGTGGGGCGATGTGAACGAGGCGACGCGAGGCGCCGTGTGAACCCCGCGTTCTGCAGTGTTTCCAATTTCCTTGAACCCGCGGCCCACGTTGTCGTGTGATGAATGTCTGCAGCCTGAACCCGAGATGCTGGCTGGGTATCCGGTGTCTCCCGAAATAAATAGGTCGCTGTGGTGGTCAGCCTGCTGCACTGCTCGATTGTGTCTAGCGCGTAATGGACCGATGTCCCTGCATCGGATTTGCGGTCCTTCCGATGTATTGCGGAGGATTTATGTGTTGATGAGATTTGATGCGCGGAAAACAGGGCCGTCAGGTAGTATGTCGATGTACTGTACTTCTGACTTGTTTCACTTTGTGGAGGAAGATGGCGGGCGCGGAGTTAAATGTTGGAACTGGGTGTCGGTGTGTGGTCAGCTTCGCGCTTCACCTGTCTTTCCCACCCATAGAAGATCGCTCGGTGCCTACAGAACGTTTTTTTCTGAGTTTCAGTTATTCACGAGTCCTATTCGGAGGGTTGCGACATCATTTATTTGGTTTCGGTGTTTCGTGATTTTACGCAGAAACGTTAATATTTTTCACTAATATTTTTCTAGTGTCGATAATTCGTGCAGAGTCGGCGTCTCCTTTCAGTATTTTCATACATTTGTTTTTTCGGCTCTTATCGTTTGTTATGGCGCAGGCTAATATGCATCCGTGTTCGTACATCACAGCCAGCTTAATCCCACCATATTAAATGACATTGTGATGAACTTTGCTGAGTGCTTTAAAAACTGGACCTGTCAGCCGTCAAGTATCTTAATGGATCAAGAGGTTTTTGTCGTCGACTAATCTACCGATTAAGTGGAAACTACGAAACAGGTTGAAAAATATATAATTTCTTTAACATTCCGCATCTGAAATGTTCCGATAAGCCATCGCCTGTCGCTTTGTGTACGTGTTCTCTGCAGTTTGTAAACATCGAAGGAAAAAAGTCGTGTGTATGCAGATAGGTTGGGTTAGGTTAGGTTCATTTGATTGAATAATTTGTTGTTTTTGGAAACTTTTTAGAAGCTGCATACTTTAGTCCGTTCTTTTAAACTTAGATGGGAAACTGTTACGTTCCACGTTTTTGTGTCTCCTTTGCTTTTAAGGAAGGGCGTCCACTAAAAGGATGACGCAAATGAGCGATTTTGGGTAATATTTAATGAGGAAATTCGTGATTTACGTGCACCAGAAACGAACTGGACTAGAATGGGGACGACAAGGATTGAACTTTGAATTTTGGTGGTGAAATCCCGTAGAAAACATCCATTTGGAAAACCAAAAAGGAGATTGGAATCTAACGTTTCAGTGTATCTTACGGAGATTGGTTACGAGAGTGGGAGGATCGTGTGTGATATCGCTTTGTTAGTTCTGGTTAGTTATTCCGTTCGTTCGTTTCGAAGGGTCGGGCCATGCAGTCACATTGCTCCTCTGGAATCACGGAAATCGAGTTCCTTGTTTTTGGTGTGAGGATTGGAGAGCGGTCCAGTACTCTTGCACTAAGGAAGACGGGAAATGTATGACCGTGCCTTCCTTATACGATTTATTTTCCCCTTTCTCCTCCCTTTGCGGAGACGGAAAAGCCTTGTGTCCGAGTTCATCTCGGCTGACTGTTTCCGCTCCCATAAAGCCCGGAGTTGTGCTAGTGTTGACCCCCTTAGACCTGGTGTTTATGAAATATTCATGAAGAGTCTGTCTGTCTGTGTGAGACGGACTCCTTCAGAAGGCGAGAGATGGGATTTCGTTTCGCTGCTGTGTGTGTGTGTGTGTGTTGCTGGCTGCCTGCTTGGCGGGGGCTGGGGATAAGGAAGGTGTCCTGAACAGGCCGAACAGCGGCGGCTTCAGATTGGAGGGGAAAGATGCGAGGCGTTTTTAAATTCTTTATACTTTTTCACTTTGAATCACATGACGTGGGTGGAGCAGTTCGGATAATGTTTGGTGTCAAAGCATCAGGGCTGTGAATTCGAAATGCGAACGTCGTGTTTGTGTAGCTAGAATCGTTAATCACAGGAACAAATAGAAGAATGATTGGCATTTCACTCGATCTGAAATATTCGAAGTTTAGGAGACGCCGGCTTGTAGTCGACAAGATCCGAAGGGAAACCGGAGGGGAAACTTGTTGGACAAAAGGGAAAGTTGGCCTACATATCGTATAACTGGGCATTAAACTTCTTCAGCAGCATAGAGGAGTACCTAGTAATACAAGTGTCGCAAATGAAACCTTTCAGAATGTGTCAAAGTTTAGATAGTTAGGAAAGATATTCAGATGAAAGTTACGCTCGAGATAATACGATCTATTTTCGTTTCTAAAGACAGGAACGTAGGCAAAAATTTGTCAGACTTGTCATTCCTATCTTCTGTACAATTAAGAAGCTGCAAAGCCGAATGTTCCATGCGAACCCTCAGAAGAGGATGGTGGACCAAAGGAAAACAAGTGTGTTAATTGAGTTCGCTGACGTCACTACCTCTTGATACCCCCTCAGACTTTTATCTCTGACTGGGAAGGGTTAGGGGAGGGGGGGGGCGAACGCAGGTTTATCGTCATTTTGTTTCTCGTGTGCTTGCGTCATTATGGAAAATTTGACGCCCTTTAAGTCAGTAATTCGTAAAATCACCGTAGGCTCGTGACATTGGTCATGGCTTGCGTCGAATTTGTTGGAAATGCCGGGAAAGACCGTTTCTCGGTTGTTAAAGTGGGCTCAGGACCCGCACTCAGCTCGCGTTATTGGTTCTTGCACTTCGCAGAGTTCGCTGATTAGCGTCCAGAGTTGCGGGAAATGTGTTCAGTTTCTATCATGACAGCGCCGCGTCGTCTCTTTGTCCACAGCATGAGGTATTATGTGCGCTCAGCCTCAGCTGGTATGCAGGGCTCCGGGTATACCAGCCGGAGCGCAAAGCTGACCGCTCGTGCCCTTATAGATCCAGGGTCAATACGTTCTCCCGATGTATTCATACCTGAAGACGGAGGCATAATCTCCTCTCGAAGCTAGGACAGGGTCCAGGGTTTTATCCTCACGTCATGATACCAGATCATTACATCAGACTTTCAGAACTGCATTATAGCTTATACTTGCGTGGCACCGAACGTTTCCGTTTGCAGTAGTTGAATCTCTTGTATCGCAGGTGCCGTCGCTGCTCTTCTGGACCGGAGAAATGACTGCCCTGAAGTCTGTTCTTGTTTTTATTCAGTGATTCTGGTGGCGAACTTACAGCAGCTAATAATTACGTGGCATTCTGTTTGTTCCAGTTGATCTACTTCAGATGCTGGAGTTCAACATAACCATCACGTTCCCGGCAGCTCCGCTACTGACAGTGATCCTGGCCCTTGTCGGTAAGTTCTTGTTCTCCGGTGCAATTTGAAGCAGACGGCAAAGCGACTTGCTATTGACGTGGTTGAGGCCTACTCCTGTTTTTCTCGCGGGTGTAGCGACCGGAGCTCGAAGCTGGCAACTCTCTTTGCTCCTGCCTTACATTTGCCCGTCAATGTTTCCCGAACTGCAAGTTGTTTCAAAGACAAATACGCATCTTAAGAAGGAAAATTGCGTGGCAGTTCGTACGTCGATAACAAGCGATGAATGCTCAGTTATTGGTTTTGTAAATCCCGCGACGTTACTTTGAATGATGTTAAATTGAAACATTCATTTCGATTTACGTGATTGGTAAAAAATAAAAATAAATAATATAGTAATTAGCAGCTGTTTTCCGTCGACCTTGCCTTGTGCTAGTTCCAATACTCACCACGAGGTGACTCGGCCATGCGTTCGCTTCAAGGTTTGTTGATACGGACTTAATACCAGTTACCCGTGTTACTAGCAGAAAGGTAGTCGAGCCCATTATTTTAAGTGTTTCATTTCCAAGCGAATTTGAGTGAAATTTGGTATCGTGAGTCTGTATCGAAAAGAATGCCAACTTTATTTTCATACAGTGTAGCCTCTACGTTACGTCAAACCCAAATCCAACTTCCCAAGTTTTTCTTTTTTCGTTTGAAAAGTGACGTCATTAATGTAGTTGACGTTTACTTGAATAATTATTCTATGAGCTGTAATGCATTTAAATACAGGGAAAATGTATCGAGGCCAACGTTTCGCGACAGATTTGAATCAGCAGCAATTGTGAAAAACAGCAAAGAATGCCTTTCAAATGTACGTTGAATTTGAGATTTTGACGGTGATGGTGGTCTTATGGTTTCTGCGGTGTGTATGTTTCGGCTGTATGCCAGCGTGTGGGAGGAACATACCACCTTCATATTGACGCTGAATGTGCAGACATACAGTCAAAGTACTAGCAGGCGCTGGATTACCCCTTTTGTTTATGTAGACAGGATACCAAGAATCTCTGCTCTCAGATTTATGATGGCGTCGACTACTTTTTTTCATCGACATGTTTCAGTCTGTTATCTGGAAAGCTGCTTTGTGTGTAACAGACAGAGCAATAAGAGAGAATGTCAACACACGATACGAAATTTTTTGGTTGTTTGTCGATATTGTCATTGATTTTACGGACCCACGTATAGGACGAAAGCACGTGTCACCTTTGACCCCGTCTATTTCGCACGAAACGGAATACTGGATTAGTGTCCCCCCCCGCCCCTTCAGGTCAAGTACCTGAGTTCAAAATGCCCGCCCGCTGTCATCTGGGATGCGTGGATAAATGTGCGGGGAAAGAGGATTTTTTGATGCACGAGTCTTCGGTCTGCGAAGAGGACCGCGTATTGCGAGGGAGAGTTGAGATTCATTCATTCATGAAGTCGTATTTGAGCCATAGCTGTACCAGCTGAGTGGAGGCTGAATGAATCAGGTCACTGCATACACGGCAAAGTAGTTACGTGTCTGGAATGTGTTACGAGAATATCCGGTTCAAGTTGGATTTTTCTTCAGGCATTTTGACTGAGGATTTCATGGTTCTTCTCAGCACTTCCAACAGAAGTCCGGGATGCCGTCTTTAAGCAGACCGACGCCGTTTCCTTCCATACATTTTACAGTCCTGTCGCCTCTCAGCAGTTAAAGCCATCGTGAACACGGCGAATATGTGAGTTCCTTACTAGACGGAACATTTCTTGGCCAGATGAATGAACTTCAGACTTCTCAAGTCACCGCCTAGGCACTTAATTTTCATACTGTCGAGCGTCTGAAAACCTTGTGACGCACGAAAACAGTTGATGTTACGGATGAAAATTACGAAAGTTCCGTTCGTTTCCTTTGGAGCTATGTTAGATCTCAGAAAGAACAGTGAAGGTGCAACACCGTACCACAAGACCACGAAGTGGAGCGCGTTGCTTTGAAATTATATCATATTTATTAAAACCATTCTCACCGGTCAATTTTTTTCGAAATCTGCTTGTCACCATAAATTCATTACGGTTTAATATGGTTTCGAACGGCGGATAGGCAGCGCTGCTTGGATTTTTCCTAGGATCTTTGTGTGTAGTGGAACAGAGAGAATCTTCAATAAGCCACTGTGAAATTAGATTTATTTGGGCACTATGAAGCTAATAAAGTTTACTTACTCTCTGTTATGTTCATTGCTCGCCGCTGCTGATCCTGCGCCTTTGGAGGCTGGGCAGGGCAGGGCAGGGTTTTTGGAAACATTTCCAATCATGTCGCTCACCTCGGAGCTCAAAACACCCCCCCCCCCCCCCCAGCCCCCCCGCCATTTCCCGTCCGTGATTCTGGTTTCGTTATCGATTGCGGAGAGACAATGCAGGGAAGTTGTTCATTTCTCGATCAGCGGTTGGACTCATGGACCACTTCAGGAACTTACTAGGACCAGTACGCAGGCCCGGGTAGGGCCCTGTCTGCCGGCAATAGTGTGTCAGTAGGGATGGCGCACACCTTTCGTCATTTTTGTTTGTTTTAAAAATAAATTTATAAAATGGACGCGCTGCGCACTAAATACGAGCGTGTGTTGTGCTCTTGATTCCCTGTATAACGAACACCCAGTGCTTCCTCAGAGGTGGCGTTTCTTCTACTGCAAACAAGGAATTGAGACTGTAGAGCACACAGTACACGTAACTCTCAGATTATGTGTCAGTTAATGCATTGAAAGCAAACATCATGAAACAGAAACGGACAGGGAGAATTGATCCATCATGCCGAAACTGATTTTGTCTTCCATCATGCGAGATGCTACTTGTTGCATGAACCCAAGTTTTATCCACATGTGGAACCCCATAAATTCACATTTTCAGAACAGATCCTTAGAAAATCGATATGACGGGCAGCAACGTCTGTTGCCTGGGAAACAATAAGAAATAAGAATCCATGGTATTAATATTTAAGTATTTGCGGTTAGAACGCTGGCCTTGTAATCCTGGGGTCTCGGGTTCGATTCCCGGCGGTGCCCGAATTTATAACTTGTGTTGGGCAAGGCCGTGGTCTAGGCAACACAGAGTTTTCCTCCGTGGCATCCCAACAATTACTCCATTCACACACAGAAGAAGGCAATGGCAAACCACTTCTGGATCATCTGCCAAGAACGTATATGAACAGGTCCCAGTCCGAGAAAAGGATGGAAGGATCCTGTTCACACTAAATAATAATAATAATTTGCCATTAATAAAATACTGATTATTTTGATGTCAAAGTATTTCTTAAAGATATGAACATCTTTCAATATTTCACAATAAAGGAGTTGACAGTTAACCATATTCAGAACCATAAAGTGTACCTGCTATCAAATTTCGCATCGTTGAAGCCTTTGTCGTTTAGGATCGTCAGTGTATCTTTCCCACCATGTTAACTGATTACCTCGGATGTCCCCCTGAATGCTGCTCAAAGTGACTGATTCACCTACATCAGAAGTTACGTGATTAGAATCTAATTATATACTTTACAAACGTTTACACTGAAATGCATTTCCTGCATTTTGCGTGGCGTGAGTTTCAGAGTGCAAGTTACGTACGAGAATGCAATGCGATTCAATTTTCTCAAAGGTCCTTTAATTTGTTAACCCGATTTAATCGGACGTTGCGGCACATCATTTTGAAATTGTAGTTTCGTATGTTTCACTCTGACGGTATCTTCTGAAAACTAAACCGTCTCCTACCTGGTGGATTGAAACTCTGCCTAACCGTAATTGGAATGAACTTGAGGCAAACACAAACACGCCCCGTGTGGACGTATTGGATTTTTTTTATGTTCGCGCTTTCTTGTGTGAGCGAGTGCACATCTCTGATAGCCCCTTAATTGGCTCACTTCCTGTTGGGATGTCTTCTAGCCACGCTCGAGTTTCCCAAAATTATAATGGCTGCCAGAGAAGTGCATGACGACGAAAACTTTTCTGGAGCCAACGCAGACCGACTCGTGCCTATTCTTTCTCTCGTGGGGGTGGGTGTGTGTGTGTGTGAAGTATGAGTGGTCTGAATGTGAAGTTCACCTTCGTCTCGTAATGAGATTGCGGATTCTTGGATCACTACGTACACGTCTTTGCTATTCTTTCGTGGCATGATACTTATGTACCCTTCCCACATTTCAAAATTGGGAAGGAAGGAAGGACAAATCTCAGTATAGTCAAATCAAGAGAAGTGAAATGTAGCCCAAACGAGATTGCAAGACCCCGAGTATGAGATAGGTGAATCGGCCCGGAGTTTTAGCAATAAAATGTAATACAAGCCTCAGTCCTTGTGACACCGCGTGTTGTTGGACTAGGAGTTTTCGCCAGAAGACAACCATTCTTGGTGCGAGGCTTGTTCGTGTCGACCTTTCCCTTCAGTAGGCAGACCCTCACGAAGAAGAATTGTTCGGTCCGAGGTCTTTCGAGATAACCCGGTCTTCAGGCAACTTGGAGTTGTGCATGGGCGTCGGGGCACTGCCACTTTGAACCCCTTACTTATGCGACGGAATGCAGTTTCACAAGGACCACGGAGTGCGCCCAAAATGTTTTAACAACGCTGGTGCTTGAGCAGTGGCCTTGTTGCTGGAAGTACCACTCCGTGTTAGAATGAATCTGACGAATTTGTGAGGACGTGCAGTGGGCAGGAGTGGAATGTGAACCGCAGATGAGTGCGATTTCTTTACGATTTCTTCTCTGCTGTTGTACTGTTATAACGAGAGGATCGGATCAGTGTGAGGGATTTTGGACGATAGAATTTCCAGGGCCTCCACTTGAACCCGAAGTTCTTACCAGGACTTCGCTCTGACTCCAGTGCTTAGCGCTGAATAAATATTCGTCCAGAAAATTCTGTTCTTACCCGCATTCCATCGGCGTGAGAAAAGGGCTTGGTAAGATTACGGCGTAGTTGATAGGATTTAAGGAAACTCCGTTGGACTGGCTTCAGCTTGTGTGTTGGCAGTGGATTTACTTTGTGTGCTGTGGAACAGGTGTGTGTGTTCA